GAAAATATTTATAAAGATGTATATAGTTATATAGATATATAAAATACACCAAATATTAATAAATAAAATACATATAAAAATAAATATTAAAATGTAAAATGTGGTTTTATTCAAATAAGACTCTAGCTACTCTAAAATACATATATCATCTGATGGAGCTGAACTGGTTTCAGTCAGTAAAATGAATCGTGGGTCTGAAAACCCATCGATCGTGTGGACTCATCACTATACCATACCCAAAAAGCTGGGTATGTGAGTCGAAACTCGTGCTCAGATGATAATAAAAAGGTATTAAAATTTATTTGTGAAATTTGTTGTTGCGAAATTTTCGAGAAAACGAAAAAATAGAAAAAATTTGGGTTAATTGACTATTTTAATTAATTTATAGACAACAAATATAGTTTGGTTTTCAAAGTAGTTTTATGGTCGATCTATTATATGGTTTTCATTATAGTGCTTTGCTTCTAAAAGAGTTGCCATTCTAAGGCATAGCAAATTCTGTTGTAGTAGCATGAAGTTAGTGGGGAAGGGAGCAACGTGGAAAGAGAAGACACCGTTTTTCTGAGACTTAAGGAGAAACTTTTTCGTTTTTGTTTTGCTGTCAGTTCTCTCGGTTATACTTCTTTGTGATATCAATAGATGCGATGGATTACATATAATATATTGCCTACTTTTAAGTGGATAACTTTATTAGTTTTTGTAGGCAAATTTTTAATGTAAGTCAGCCAAAAAATAGGCACTTCAAAATCAGAATTGGCATATTTTACTCCAAGCCTAATGAAGGTAAATTTTTCCTATGACATACTGTATCTTATATCTCCACTTATTCATATATATATATATGTTTAACGCCTTCAAAGTAGTCCCCACCAGATGTAATACACTTATGCATTTTTTGGGATGGTCTACAGCGAATTTTGCTTTATCTCTTCCATTGACTGAAAAGGGATTCCATGGAACGGCAATTTCAGTTTGGGGAACAAGAAAAAATCACACGGTGTCAAATCTGTGAATACCGTCTTTGATCGATGGTGTTCATTGAGTTTGAGGCTTTAAATTCGGTCACAATGTTGGCTCGGTGCGATGGTGCATTATCATCGTGTAATATCGAAAAAAATAATGAGCTCTTGTTGTGAGCGGCGTTGGTGTTGTTGTTTTTTTTTTTTTTGGTTTCGGCACCTTTTTTTTATCACCTCCATTCCGATGATTATTATTTGCATGTCAATCTCATAAGCCCATGTCTCGGCAGTTGTAACGCTCTCCATGAATGTGGGATCGGTGTTCGCACGATCAAGCATGTCCAAAAAAACTTTTTTACGGTACTCTATTTGGAAAAAACGGACGGACTCGAGAGAGATGTCGAGCTCTCTCGCCATCTCTCTAATACTTGTCTGACGTGTCAACTTCACGTCTTCACTTTTTTAATTTGTTATCATTTGGTCGTTCTGAACGAGGAATGTTTTCAACGATCTCTTGACCATCTTTGCAGGTTTTTATCACTTGCAATTTTGTGTTTCTGATAAAACTGAATAACGTAAGCCTTTTCCAACATTCCCAACGATTCCGCACACGAAATTTGGTAAGAAATCCACAACTTAAGACGAATTTTTACGGTAAATAGTTTTGGAGATAAGGGCGTATTTTTGTGAATCTTAAAACTTAGTGTAATTGGCTCCCAAAGCTTTAACGAGTTTTTCTCGAAACGCTTCGGTGAGGAAATTTTTCAAAACGGATGGACCGATAAGCTTGAAATTTTCACACGACTTTCTCCGATATATTTGTCAGGAAGTGATTGAAGGTATAAGATTTGCACCAAAATTAATTTATCCATTCTGAAGTGTAAATTTGCCCGCCAAAACCGACTGCTTTGTTAAGTCGTCAGAAGAATGGCCAGTTCTTTGATTACTATCCATATTCACCTATAGTAACGATAAATTATTTGAGGCTTTAGATTTGAGGTAATTTTAAGCAGAAAACTATTCTTCACCGCCAGATACTTTTTAATGAAGATCTTCCTTGAGGTCAACTGCGAGATCACGGGAAATCAAAATTTTTCGCAATACTTTTCCAATTCTGTGCAGTTACTTTTTGAATTATCTGTGACCGGATAACACCTGGGTTGTTAACAAATCGACTTCTCCAAATTTACGCCTTGTCTTTAAGTTTAGATCTTTTATTGGTCTGGCCGTCCATCTGCCGCTACTCTCATTCTTCCGTTCGTTGCCATGTTGTTATTGTATATTTCTTTATTCGTTCTATTGCGCTCTTGTTGTTTTCGCATGTTTTCTTTAGCTCCTACAGATTTTTCCTTTCGGATGCCAGAGGGTATTATTACCGCTTATAACTAATATTGCCTGTTCGGTAGGCCGATGTAACTCTGAGGGCTGTGGTGCCGTGCACTCTGGCCACTCTTATGGCCGGTTTTTCTTTTTAAGCACATCGGCCCAGATTTCAGCTCCGTATAATAAGGTGCTGATTGTCGTCGGCATTAGGAGTTTCTCTTTCTCTTTTCTTGGCTGAGGCCTCCTATGTTGGGCCTCCAATGGCCATTAGTCTGCTGAGATTTCAGGATTTCTGCTGTGATCACGTCTGGACCGAGTGATTTATTGGCCTTGAGCTTTCAAGTGGATACTTGTAACTCTTCGAGGGTGAATGTAGGTAGCTCTTAGAGTATGTTCTGTATCACTAGCCCTTTTTTCGTGTGAGCGAAATCGTGCGTTTACAATCTGATACATTTTGGCAGCGGTTAAGTCAGGTGGCTTTGCTTTTTTATTTTTGATATAGTCGATGGTGTGCTTCAGCTCCTTTTTGCTGCTTTGAATTGCTGCTTCACGGGATGCGATCACTATAGGATATAGCTGCTATATAAACTAACCGATCAAAATCAAGTTGTTGTAGGGAATTATTTGTATTCTGAATGTTATTAGAGCTTCGGTGCCTTAAATCGTTCAAAAATTCGTAGAAGACTGAAAGGATACCTGAAAATATTTCAATTATCTGCGTGTTTCCAACTTGTGAATTTTTTGTTTTGCTCTGAATATACAATAGTCTTCGTTTGTATGAGATTCACATTATAAAACAATACTAGAGGACCCGTCCATGCTTCACTGTGACTGATACATAGATAATAGTACTACTACCACCTATATGATTTCTATTAGTTGGATTATAACTATTAGTTAATGAGATATAGCATTTTTGTGAAGCAATTTGTATTAGTTTACAAAAAAAAAAAAATGATCATAAAGCATTGCGTTGGTTATAAAGCATTGCTTTTTCTGGGAAAATACTGTTGAATTTGGGCTCAGAGAAATCCACCATTGAAAAGCTTTGCTAAGCTGAAAACAGGAGAAATGAGAAAGGAAAAAACAACGAATAACTGACTCTGAGACGTGTTTAAGTGCTCTCTAATCGGAATAAAGCCGAATTTTCTCGTCGCTGATAGAAACATAGCTCCATCATTTCCCCCTAGAGTCCAATCGACAGTCATTCTAGTAGACTGCACATGATGAACCGGTTCTCAGGCGTGGAAAGACGAAAAAGGCGGCTGGAAAAATTATGACATCAGTCGTTTAGGATGCACGTGGTATAATACATACTCAACGACTGATTACTGAGCCAGAAATAATGTATTTGGTTACAGTTCTTTTCTTCTATTCCAAATACTTAGCAATTGTATTATTTTTGAAGGGGGATTTTTTTTTAAATTGTTGGCATATATTTAATTGATTCCTACAAACATAAATTTTGAACAAATGCTAATGATTTTAAACATAAGTTTTTTATTTATGAGTTGTATTAAATTTTGACATAAAGAGATAAAAGGTATCCTATGTCCTTACCCTGGTTCTAAACCACCTCCTCACCAATTTTCAGCCAAATCGGTTCAGCCGTTATAACACAACTTTCTTTTATATCATATATCGTCAGCTAAAATGCAAAATAGCGTATCATCAAAAAATTTAAAATTGAGTATCTTATTGATTACGATTCACTACTTCAAATTACATACATAATATTACATATGTCCAATACTTTCAGGTTCTGCGCTCATAGATGTATGAACCAGTTTTAACCAATATTAAAATTTTTTTCACTATTGTTCCATTTTATTTCGTGTTTCATTCACGCCACTGTAAATTTTCGAAAATGTTGTTACGTTATTTTACATTTTAGGAGACGATATATAGATTGACAACACAATTACACAATATATTGTAAAACCAATTGATGAAATCATATTCTATGCTTTTAAAAAGTTTCCAGATTTGCACATTATAAGCCGTGTCTTGATAAGCATGCATGATTGTCTAGTATACTATAGAACGTTATTAACGAAATATGCCGGCGAAAACGAAATGCCCGATATATACTATAGAATTATAAAACTGGAATACATACGTATGGTTAATTAAAGGCAACAATAGTACTTGTAGGAAAATTTATAACTGCCCAACTTATTGCATAACAAATATATACATTTATTGAAATTAATTTGTTTTCATTGAATTTTAATATTTTTTAGAATTTCATTAAATTTTTAATTTTAAAATTAATTACAAAACATTAAAAGTTTTGCAGTATTTAAAAACTGTGGTTTAAAACTGGGTAAAAAGTAAAATAAATATATATTTTTCTAAATGTGATTGAAAAAACATAGAAGAAAGGAAACTGCAAACTGTTCCAAAAAAAAGTAATATATCTTTAAATGAAAGATATAAAAAATGTATGCGATTTTTGAAAAATAAAATAATAAAATATAAAAAAAATGTAAAATAATTTTAAACAAATTCAAATTTAATTAAAAATTTGAGTATAATATGATACTACAACAAAAAAATTATTTTGAAAACATTAATCCTTTA